TATATATATTAGAAATATAATTGCTGGGGATAAATACCTTCATTTTTGCCGATCCCACTCTTATTATTTCTTGCAGCGATATAAAATTAATCATCAGAAAAGGATCAGGTAAAGAATCGGGGAGAAGAGGAGAATCACTGAAGGAGGGTGATGTGGGAAAGTTGGTAAAGCTAGCTGTCAGCAAAGAACAGTGGCAAAAAAAAACGATAGATTCCTGGGGTGTAAAGAATTCCAAGGGGTGGTCGTACGGAATGAGAGATGTGAATGAGAAATGGAAGTTGTAAAGAAAGAAGAAGCAGAATGTAATGAGCACATTCTGCAGGATTTACGTTCATTAGGGGAAAGTTTTGTGTGAGATTTATTATATTTTTGGACCTTGCGAGGCGCACAAAATTACTACTTACCATAAAAAATGACCAAAAAGCTATCCAGAATATTCATTATTTTCGATTTTCAAAAAAAAAACTTTGGAATTCTGACAGACCATTGAAAAGCAGCTGTCGCTGCATTTCCTAGCCATGACGGGCAAGAGGGTGGGAATGGTGACATGCAAGCTATTTTTGGACAGGAAACTACGGTAGACGTCCATTCCACCGATATGGCAGACTAAATTTGTTTCCTATTTGGAAGATGTTACATTAGCCTTCATGCGGTGAGAACCTTTTTTGCAGGATCCGTACGATACTCACCGTAGATAATCTTGGCGGTCCCCTTAGAGATAATCGACTCGAAACACAAAACAAATCTTCTTCGATACGGAGGGATTCAATCTTAGGAGTGTAAGGCGGTCATTCAAACACGGTTTCTCCTCTGGTGCCAACGATTCCTTTCAGGAATACAACTTCAGACCAAGAGGCATCAAAAAATTTGCTTGGTATCGTTCAGATGGTCCGCAAGGCCTTCGTCTGAGGAGACCACGTTCAGGATCACCGATCTTTAGTCTTTTTACTGATTCGCTACAACTACAGAATCTCTCTTAGAAGAGCTCCACCGCTGTTTGGCTGTCATCGTTGCTGTCAGAATGTTGTCAACTACACTCGACGATTTCTTAATTCCCGTTTTTTTCCGATGGCATCAAATTTTTGCAAGAAATTGAAAAAAAGATTCTGTTGTACTGAAAAAACGAAACCAAAGGGAAACGAGAATGGGTCGAGCGATACCGAAATTTAGAATATTCTGAGGAAGTTTGGAGACTTGGGAACCTGAGCGTAACTCAGATGCCACTTCACGTTGTAAAATTTTGAGCGGTTATTCTTCAAGCCTTTTGGCAAACAACTGTTAACGTAAGAAAGAAAAACTTGATGAGTTAATAGAAAACGAAGAGTTCGAAAATCTGGTACCTCTGCAAGGTTCAACCATTTCCAAAATTTTCGAATTTTTTTCAAATGTTAAGATACTAGAGGGAACAGAGCCTGGGTTGGTACCGCATGCAAGCCTATGTATAGGTATATGCTTTTGGTTAGCATAAAGTAGTATATAATCTTCCGAATAATAACATTCAGACTTGACTGTTCACAAATTTCTGTATTATTATATAATAACAAAGGGGGTGGGGGTATGCGATGGTGAAGTGGCAAGTGGCTCACTCACACACATGCGTAGTCCAGGTTCGAATCCCGGTTTGATCCATGCCAAGGCCAACCAAGCCTGCCATCCCTCCACGATCGCTTAATTGATACAATACTCATCTACAACGGAAGTAATTGTAAAGGCCAAATACGCAATTATTAGAATCACGATTCTGAATGAAAGACGAATACGACGGGGCGCATCCCAACGGGCTTAATCTCAGAGAATTTCCCCCTTCATCCCATGATAATATAAAGGCTGCTTCTGTTTAAAGTCTTCCGGACAAGCTCTGATCAGGCTGTGTTGGTGGGAAGTTGGCAAAAAAAGTAGGGTGTTGGGACCTTAAAATAATGCCTGGAGAAGAATTGCAAAGAGTTCTATTCTTCGGGGTTCCTTATCAATTGTAAGCAGCTGGATTTCACCGTAGAATTGGAATGACACCATTACAAAAGACATTGTGACACGATTGATGGATGGATGGTTAACGACTTCAACGACCGATGAAATGGTGTCGTCGTTTGTATTCAGAGCGTATAAAATCC